TCCTGCCTCAGCTTCCCGAGTGCTGGGATTATAGGCATGTGCCACCACGCCTGGTTTATATCTTAATTCTTTTTTCCTCCTCCCCTTCCCTCCCTTTAGCTCCTCTTCTCCACCTTATTTACAAAAGCTTGTTTCCATTTTTTCCTTTTTTCTCATCATTTTTTTCCTTCCTTCCTTATCCTTGAGGGTGAAAACTTTACACAAAGGTCAGGAAATACTGTGCTGTTTCCCAAGGCTACATGTCTCGATTGCAGCAGATTAGATACAGAAGCAGTTAATGAGAATCCAGCTGTATTTTCATAGTCAGAGAGATTTCCAAAAATGTCAGACATCAACACTCTTGCTATTATGGGAAGTGGTTATTTTTCATAAACACTTAAAAGTGTAGTGGGTTTTTATATGTGTCTCATAAAATGTCATGGTAGTTTGAAAATTTCAAGTTGGCTTAAATTTCTAATATCAGTACATCTAAATTACATAAGCAAAAAAAATCTGTGGGGTCAGTACTTTTTAAAAAAGTGTTAAGGACCGGGGATGTAGCTCAGTGGCGGAAGCGCCTGCCTGGCAAGCCCAAGGTCCTGAGTTTGATTCCCTTAACTAACAAAGGGAAATCAGAAAAGTAGTTTTAGTAAAACTAGATGCATAAATTTAGAAATCAGTGAATTTCTCTTAGAGTGTAATGCAAAACAAAGATTTAAATTGTGAGAACAAAAATACAAGAGACTGGAAGATAGCCAGGTAGAGTCCTTTAGCATTATAGATGAAAAGGAAAGGACAATTCCGAGAAAAGCTTGAGGGGAAATGCTTGAACCTTTGGATTGAAGAGACTGATCTAAGTGTTTGGCAAGTCTTCAGAGAAGACATACTGGTTAATTATTCTGTATCCAAAATGCTTGTTTCAGATTTTTAAGTTTCCCAGATTTTGGAATATTTGTATAGACTTTACTGGTGAAACATTTTTAATATAGAAATCAGAAATGTTCCACAATTTAAATGTTTTGTTTGGCTTTGTTTTGCTTTTTTGAGACAGGATCTTGCTATGTAGTCCAGGCTGGCCTTGAACTCACTATGTGGCCCAGGATGGCCTTGCACTCTTGCATTTCTCCTACCTTAGCCTCCTGAGTGCTGGGATTACAGGCATGCTCCACCATACCAGACCCCAAAATCTAAAATTTTGCACATTGTGTCAGTACTTGAAAATTTTCAAAGCATTTCAGATTTAGGGATGCTGTTGTAGTCAGGGTTTGAAAGTGAATAGATTTAATATAGGACACATAATTTATAGGATTATTTTATAATATTCACCCAGAAAGTCAAATGCAGAAGAACACAAGAGATCTGTCCATGCAATAGAGACCCAAAGAATCCAGCTGAAGACCTGGGTCCCACAGCAAAGTGCCGTGTGAGTCCAGCTGGAGGCCTAGTTTCCACAACGTCTCATGCAAGTCCGCATCACGGATCTACGCTGGGAAGGCCCAAAGGTCAGTGGTGGAAATTAGAAAGTCTGCACCAGTAAGGTGAAGGATTTGTGCCAGGTGGCTCAGGGATCTGCACTGGAGCCAGGAAACACAAGGTAAGGACCAGAGCTCCCCCAAGAGAACTGCAGCCATCCCCAGCGACAGCAAGAACCCGAGCTCCTCTGATGATGTACCAGTGTGACGGGTTTGTCCAGGAGAACCAACAGCACACTATGTTCCTCTCCAGCTCTCCTTTTATGCTATTGGCAACAATGCTCAGGGGGGCCTTCCCCACCTAAAACCATATTGATTCAGTTCAACTGGGCAGTACAAGTTGCCCATTAGTTAATGCACCACAGGTGTTCAGTGTATACCTTGATGATCTGATGAAAAATTCTTCCAAAGAAAGAGTTCTACAAGCAGTCTGCCAGCAAGGAGAAAGATTACTTAAAAACAGTAAGAAGTAGGTTTTTTTTGTTTTGTTTTTTTTTTTTTGTCTTTTTGAGACAGGGTCTCACTATGCAGTTCAGGCTGGCCTTGAGCTCACTTTGTAGCCCAGGCTGGTCTCGACCTTCCAATGATCCTCCTGCCTCAGCCTCCTGAGTGCTGGGATTATAGGCATGTGCCACCACTCCTGGCCAGAAGTAGGTTTTTTATCTATATCACTTAAATAGCAGAATCCTTACAAACAGTGTACATTGTTCTAAGGGAGAGGTGGTGACTAGAACACTAACCACACAATAATTTAGGTACTCTGTGAAAATTTTCTTGAGGTATTGCAGTTGTACTAGAAAATGGCACAACCTTTATCCTGGCAAGTGGGAAAGGGAAAATTTTATTTATAGTAGTTCTGCCTTATCTGTGGTTTCAATTTCTGAAGTTTAGTTACCTGTTATCAGCTATGGTCTGAAAGTATTAAATGGAAAATTTCAGAAATCATAGATTTTAAATGGTGCACAATAAAAAATTTCTTGACATAGCTTGTCTCACGTGTGCACCTTGTACATGTGCTACCTGTCCATTAGTCAGTAGCCATCTCAGTTATCAGATGCATGTGATCAGATAGATTGCCCTGTTATTACAGCGCTTGTGTTCTAGTAACCTTTGTGTAACTTAACAATCGCTCCAAAGTACAAAAATATAACTTACAGCAGTTCAGATAACTCAAAGGCTATAAAGTGAAACTTTCTTTGGTGGTACTGGGGATTGAACCCAGAGCCTTTACGCTAAACTACATCCACAGTGCTCTTTATTTTGGGGCAGGGCCTTCCAAAATTGCCCAGGCTGGGCTTCATTTTGAGATTTTCCTGCTCCTGCTAGAGACTGCGATTATAGGTGTGTGCAGCCAGACCTGCTCAGAGTCCTTTTTTTTTTCGGGGGCGGGGGGTGTCTTTTTGTCTGCAGTTAAAGCTGTCTGCAGTTAAAGCTGTCTGCAGTTAAGGTTAAAAAAAAAAACAAAAACAGTTGTCCACCAAGATAGTTAAGATGTACTATACCTAAATTATAAATTAAATGATTGTATTTATGTATGTATAGAAAACATTCAGTTATGTGTAGGATTCAGTAGTATCTGCAGTTTCAGGGATTTCCTGGCTTGTGGAATGTAAGAATGTATCACCTGTGCATAGGAGGGAACTATTGGCATATAGAAGGGCTTTAATCATTTTGGAGGAATGTTAGTACTTTCATTCTTGATGTTGTAATAGATTGAAGGTGTACTAAAAATAAGGAGAATAGCTAGTAAAATAAAGAATGTAAAAATAGTGCTCAGAGGTGGAACTCACTGCTGCGATGACACTGACTGTACCACTTTGCATTTATGCCAGCCAAGAGTGAGAGTTTGAGGGTTCCCTGTGCTTGCCAACACTTGATGGTGCCCCTTACATTTAGCCATTTCAAGGTTTTGGAATACTAGAGAACAGTAGATTAATGATAAATTATTTCTCTTTTGACTTAAGATAGGCAGTAGTAGGTGGCTTTGGGGATCTAAAATGATGATTTACATTTGATTCTATCCTCAGGGTCCTATTGGCATGACCCAACCAATTTATAAAAGAAGTAATTGTCAGGTCTTAGTGTGTAGAAGGATCCCTTAAACCTACAGTATTTTCCTCCCCTTGCTGCTACTCCCTTGAAGATGTTGTGCCTCCTTTACAGAGGAAATGGAAAACTCTGACCAAAACTTTCTTAATCCTCTACAGCCTAGGCTAGACATAGTCTGTCTTCTCTGTTCTTACTGTGGAGGAAGTTGCTCTTCCAGCACAATCCAATCCCTCTGAGCTTTGAAAATCCTCCCTCACCCTCCCAAGAACTTGCTTACATTGCTCTGTTTGTTGGGTGGTTTCAGTCTCCCTTGTTTACAGGAGCCTAATCACATTCACTGTATTGTAGTTTCATTTGAAGAACTAGAGCGAGCAAAAAGCATCTCTGCGTTTCCCAGTCCTCACCTGGCCGCTTCTCCACTGCTTCACTCAGCGTTCTTGAGCATGACTTCTGACTCAGTTGTATCTTCAAGGTTGCTTTTGCAGCATCTCCAGTCAACCCCGTATTGCTTGGATTGGGATTGTGGCATTACTTTCACTATTCCTTCCCATTTGATTTTTTTGTTGTTGTTACTATTTATGTAGTTATTTGTACTTTGCTGTGTATGGTACAAAAAAACAATTTTCCCCTACTGTACTGCTCGGGAGCACTTTGTCTCAGCTGGGTGGGGGCTTTCCCACCCGCAGCTGCCCAGTGGACCCTAGGTGGTTTGACAGTCCTACCTCTGTCACCTGGTTGAGGTCTCAGTCCAGTGAGACTTCCCCTGCTTGGTTGTTGATAGTGATTTCCAGCTTACTGCACTTTTGACCAACTATATATTGGGGTTCACAGGACTCCCTCACAGGTTTTTATAATTTGCTAGGTGGCTCACAGAACCCAGGGATATACTTTTCCTACTCATTTAAACTTAAGTTATATAAAATTTCATTACCAAGGATATGGATAAAGAGGTAAGACATATGGATGGGTGTGGAGCACCACTGCCCTCCCCAGGCACAGCATGCTTCAGATGCTTGTGTGCGTATCCAGCAGCCTGGAAACTCCAAACTCGGGCCTTTTAGGGTCATGGAGGCTTCATTACCTGTGCACAACTGATTAAATCACTGGCCTTTGCTGACCAGCCTTACCTTTAGCTACTTTCCCTCTTCTGTGAGTCAGGATGAGGGCGAGTTCAAACTTCTGAGTGAAGAGTTGGGTCCAGCAAGAGCTCCCTACTGGCAGTCATCTCATTAGCATATGAAAGACAGCACTTTGGAGATTCCAAGGACTTGGGGCTCCTGGCCAGAAAAGGGGTGAAGACAAAAAAATACAATAGTTATTATAAATCACAGTATCACACTTCTTGTTTTTTTGTTTTTTTTTTTGTTTTTCTCTGGTACCGGGAACCGAACTCACGACCTTGCGCTTGCCAGGCAGGTGCTTTTTGCCGCTGAGCTAAATCCCCAGCCCAGTATCACACTTCTTAAGCCTCATATTTACATTTTAATTTGTAATTATAATGCCCACACTTTAGTATTAGCTTTGTATTTAAATGGCGTCTCAAAGCTGGGCCTGGTGGCACACTCGGGAGGCTGAGGCAGGAGGAATGATGCACACGAGACCAGCCTGGGTTACAAAGTGAGCTGAAGGCCAGCCTGAACTGCATAGTGAGGCTATGTCTCAAAAAGGCCATCAATCAATCAATCAATCAATCAATCAATAAATAACATCTCAAGCTTTAATGCTTTTACCCCAATAATTGATTTTGATTAATCATTTGATTGGTTTGACTTCGTCAAGCAGTTTTCTTAAGGCGACTTCCTGGGTACTCTGTTGTTGAGCCCTTGCATGGTCAGGTCTTGTCTTTGTTCTAATTACAGGAATAATCAAAGTTTCCTGAAGCATATATTAAGAGAATACCTCCTACCACTGACGTGTGAGAGTCTTTATGTCTTCCCTTGGCTTCTGAGGTCCTCCTTGTCTAGTTTCCTCTGGCCTCTGCAGCTCTTCTCAAGTCTAGCTGCTCACAGTGAGCCTCCCTGTGACCAGCAGCCTCAGCCTTACTTGCCTGGGCTCAGTAAAGATGGAAACATCATGCCTGCTTCAGACTGGAAGCCAGAGGCTCAGTGGAAGATAGTAAGCACAGCATGTTGGAGAACTGTTGCTGTCTAGGGTTGCAAACACTTCCTTTAGTGAAGACTCTCTAAATGTCGGGACTTGATTTGTCTTGAGGGAGGCTCCTTTTCTGTGTGAATCCATGTACCACCCAGGCCTCCAGTCCTGACTCACGTACATTATCTTCATTTCTGATGACTGCTCTTAGGCTTCTCACAGACATTTAATTCCTATTTTGTATTTTATTTATTAATCATGAATCACAGTGCCTAATAGGTTTTGATTCAGTGTATCCTATTTTTTCATAGGGTTGGAAGCTTCACATGTAATGACTTTTGGAAGCAGAAGTACATTTGGTTTTACACCTTTTTGACTTAGGGTTTGCATTTCCTTCCCCTGTCATTATTGTGTCACCCCATTTGTTCAGATTTCTGTAGCAGCTTGCTATCAAGTTGTTGGCCTGGGTTTCCCCCATCAGGTCATTGGTCTTACTAGACCGGTTGTCCATAACCACAAAGTTTTTAGTTTATCTTCAGGAAGAATGTTTTAAGGGAAAATACACAATTCTCAATTCTTACTACTACGACTTTGCTATGTTTTTGGAAACTGAAAACATATAACAGTGCTGTTTTGGGACATGGTCCACTGGGCTCCCTGTGAGGGCTTTCTTCCTGGGCTGTGGGGTAGTTAGCTGCCTTTACACTGAGCCTCCCATGATGGGGACAGTGTGTGGTGTTTACTTGTTGGCACTTAAGCTGTTGAAATTGTACAATTTTTATTAGTACCTGTTTGCTGTACATAATGATTACGTATATTCTGGGGAGATGGTCCAATGTATGTAACACATCGTAATTCTTACTTCCTCTCCTCTCTTGCCGCCTCCCATCTACAGGCTGTTGAATTTTTAAGAAGACTTGCTTTAATTTTGTCAGTGTGCAAGAAGCAAGTAAATCTTAAAATAGAAGCAGTATTTAACATTATAACCAAATACTGTACATAATACCCATCACAGTGTCAACTAAATGTAGAAAGCTCTTTTTTTCATAAAAGGCTTTCTGGGGAGGAGAAAGGGCCTCGGTGTTTTAATGGAGTTTTATTTAACTCACATTCGTAATGCAAAGTGCAGATATGTGATCTGATACTTGTAATTTTATTGACACCCCCTCCCCAGTCAAATTCAGGGTCTTGCACATGTTAGGCACATGCTTGAATAGTGAGCATACCACCAGCCCTGCCACTTTAGTTTTATGATACCTACTACATAATTTCTAAAATTAATTTTGGGGAAGTAAAGTGGGGTCACGGTATTTACATCTTTTCTTTTTTAGTAAATGAAAATGCAAATTTTATTTTTTTTTCAGTTGGACTGTTTTAACAGATCACACTACGGAGGTTTTTCTTTTTAGGGAGATAAGGAAATTGAACCCGGAGCCTTGCACGTGCTATCAGCCTGTGCTGTACCACTGAGCTACACCTGCAGCCCTAAGCTTATAGTGATTTTTCACTTTTAAAGGAAATACAGATAAAAATCACCAGTATCCTGTCACAACTCTCTGCTAAAGGGAATACAGCTAAAAATCACCAGTATCCTGTCACAAATAACTAATTCCTTGGTCTTCTTCCTTTTTCCCTTTTCCATTTTCTTGTCCTGCCCTGTGTGTAGTCTTCTTGATTTGTTGTTGTAACTTCCTATGTTGTTTGTAACTTGCTTTGCAATAAATGGTGATCCTTTTTCCTTATCTGTCAATATTTCCCCTTTAAAACTTTTGTAGGTATTTATAAGTGGCAACAAATGTGGCCACATGGAATTGAGAATAAAAGTTTATTTCTGTCTCTCTACTGTAAGGAAACTAATGTCACAAAGCAATAGTTGAATACTCGGAAGTTACTAAAACAGCCAGGTGTGGTGGTCCATCCCTGTAATCCCAGAACTCGGGAGGCTGAGGCAGGAGAATTGCATTGAGTTTGAGGCCAGCTATCTCCTGTACTTGTTTTATACATTTGGGTGAGTTTCTTTGCCTGCAGATTAGAGACTTTTTTTTTTGTCTTTTTGAGACAGGGTCTTGCTATGCAGTTTAGGCTGGCCTGGAGCTCACTTTGTAGCCCAGGCTGGTCTTGAACTTGTGCCTCAGCCTCCCGAGTGCTGGGAGTACAGATGTGCGCCACCACAACCAGCTGAGACTTCTTATTTGAAGTCTCCTTCTCTGTGTGCCCAAGACCTGTCTAAAATGGAGTCACATTTAAAAATACAGGTGATGGTAATTTTACATTTGCATGTCAGTGTCTATTTTCAGTTGTATTTCTGTTTGCACAGATGTTTTGTGTAGCCTGATATTAAAATGAGGTTGAGGTGACTGCACACATTATTAATAAAGTGGGAAAGTGATGAGAGTTGCAATTCGGTCTCAAAAGTGGATAATCTGCACCTGCCCGCCTTGGCTCCTCACAAGCACTCCTTGCTGCGTTTGAAGCTGCCTTGAGCAGGGGTAATGACAGGTTAGACTCTAAACGCGCCCGCTGACGCAACGCAAACCTGAGGCCCATAGGACTTTATGGGGCAGGGGTTATGCTTGTTTAAAAACAAAACAAGCTGCTCTGCGTTAACGAGGCCATTTAAGGTGCCTTTCCCAGAGTGGGAAGAGAATGCAGTCCCAGTTTGGAGGTTGAAATACAAGTTTCTATTTACTAAGCTCACTGCATTCTGTTCACCCAGGGAAGAGAGTTTAAAATAGGCTTCCAGTAGGGGAAGAAGTGGAGGAGAGAGGAGGGGGTACTGCAGTTGTGGGGTGAACTAGGTGGAATGCTTTTACTCTGTTAAAACGGAGGAATTCACGCGTTAATTCGGACAGTGCAGTCCATGCCAGGAAGAGCCCTGTGTAGCGTTTAGATCGAAACGTAAGAAATTAACCTACTGAGCTCTGGTTCCACTTAAAATCCCAAGGGCGCCAGTGCCCAGGGCGCACCACCACTGGTGGGCGGGGCGTTGGTGTGGCCCCGCCCCCTCAGGCCCCACCCCGCGGCGGTGGCCCCTCCCTGGGCGCGGCAGCCCAGGACGCCCGCCAAGGCTGGCAGCAGTCACAGCGGGCTCTGGCTGTGGCCGCTCCCTAGGGCGCTGCCGGGTCGGGTCGGAGCCGGCTAGAGATCACTCGGGGCACCCGGCCACCCCTCTTCGTCAGTTTGGCGGGAGCCTGGCCAGTGAAGCTGGGCAGGACAACTTTTTAGGCTAACGAGGCTAGCTCAGCTATGACTCCCATTTTTGGAGACGCAGAGGAATTTGAGCCCGGGGAAGCGCGGTCGCCTGCTGGGACGAAGGCCTTTTCTCCCTGTCTGTAGCGGGGCGGTGATTCTGGGGAGGGAGTGGATGAAAGGAGCCTGGCCCGCCTGTACGTAAGCGCTGGAGGCGGCCTGGAGGGGCCTGTGGTGCAGATTGCCGCAGGGCCGCCATGCGCTGCCTGACTTCTCATGCCGGGGAAGCCTGCCCTGCCCACTCTGTACTCGTGGAGGAGAGTCTTGCTCACGTGTCTACGAACGACTAGGACGAAGAAGGGAAAAGGTACTGACTGGAAGGACCGGGCTCAGGAAACAGATGTGGAAGCAGCAAACCTGGAGCGTGGCGTGGGGAATGGCTGCAGCCTGAGTGAGCGCTTTCCGCTTTCCGAGGCTGACGGTGAGGTTTCACGTGCGCTGCTGTACTCTGTAAATCAGACTTCTCGAATACTGTGACTTCCGCAGGGCTGTGCTGTACGCTCCTCCTGCAAGGCCTGCCTTGCTTTTCCGGTTCAGCACGGAGCTGGGTTCCACCTTTGGAGCTCAGCTCCACGAGGTTTTGGCAGTTGATACCGTGTAACGCCTTCATTCACAGGAAATACTGGCTGCACTTGTTCACGTTTCCAGTAGGAATTACGGTGTGCTCTCTTCCTGGAAGTTGTAAGGATACAGTGCAGACAAGAACTGCTGAAAAATGTTAGGCCTATTTTGCTAGGCCAAGAAATTGAATAACCGTGTTTTTATCTCTATATTTTATGTTAAATATAAACTGAGCTTATTGGCCTTTGATGTGAATACTATTTGGCTTAGTAATTTGAAAGGCATTGGAGACTGAAGACTGTTTTGTGCCCATGGAACCAGTTTCCAGTTATTGTGCTGGACACACGAAATGGGCATAGGGTTTACAGACAGGGTGATTTGGCAACACTGATAAACCTATTGTTTTATCCGTGAAGTAAAATGGATGAATAATCCCATGCACAAAGAATTGGCTGGGAGGGAAGTGGGATTACAGAGAGTTCCTCCGTAGTCTTTTTGCCACGACACCCTGGATTACACAGGGCTTCAGATGATGCGAGTTGATTCGTGTTTCCAAACCTGTGTAAGCCACATTATGGTGAAGTTACACTTCTGGGGATGTGTGTGGGTCTGATCCCATGGCCTCACACGTGCTAAATCACTGTTACATTCGCTTTCCCTTGGAGCTTTAGAATATTTCTTTAGTCACAAAGGAATTAATTTGATTGCAGCCTCAGCCCCCCATTTACAGGTTCTGTTGGTAGCCACTGAAGTAATCTAGAAACCAGATTGTATTTAGTCTTGTTGTTTCTTAAACATGTTCTTTGCAACAGAATAATGATTGTAAGTGAGAGGAAACTTTAAGCTTGAGGCTTGTAGAAGCCTACAAACTTTAAGCTTGTAGAAATAGGGCCTTTTTAGGACATCAGCAGCCTTATTGATCTTTGTGACCTGCCATAGTCCAGCAGAGATAGATTCCTGGGGGAAAATTGCTTGTGTTGTTTGTATTTGATTCATCCTTGCTAGTTACTTGTGGATCATTTCTTCCAAAGACATTTATCTGAGAAGTGATGCTGTTTGTCCAGTTAATGATTGTTTCAGCAGCACTGGGGAACCCCAGGTTGCAGAGAATTTTTCCCAGTGCTGTACACGTGCGGTGATTTTATCCTTACTCTTGTACCTTCTGACTCCTCTCCCCTTGTGTATCAAATGATTTATATAATGGAATGGAAATAGAATAGAGTGAGATTCTTTCCCTAGACACTAGATTAATAGCTTTAAGGATGGCCCTCTATTTCTAACCTGTCTTCCCTAACTTTTGAGGTGAGCACTGATCAGTGGGGAACAAAATAAACACCCTGCTGATAATATTTTGGAGGACATATTAAATGGATAATGGAATGTGGTAGCAGGTCCTTCCCCTGTGACTCCTTGTACCCTACACCCAAAATGTATATCTAGAGAAGGTACTCCTCACCAGCAAGAAGTTAGTCAGGATGCGGTGACCTTTGGCCTTTGAACTACGTAGGACCTGCAACTCCCTGAAGCAGTCAGCCTCTAAGAATTGGAAAGAAATAGATGGAGTTAGAGACTCAGAGAGGGAGAACAGTGTCCAGTCAAAATAGATCGGATTGTATTTACAGTACTTATACAGTGTCTCTATCTTAGCATTTACTATATGTAGTTTATCCAAAAATGATGTACATACTTTTAAGGGAGCAGGTTTTAAATATAGTCTGGGACAGTTTGAAAAGCGGGCTTATCCAGTGTGCAACACCTGATTGCAAAATGCATTTTTAGTGTAATTTACATTTTTGTCTGTGATTTTTATAGCTGTAATTATATTTCTTTTGCCTCTTTAATTTTAAAAAACTTTTTATTACAGAAATGAGCCGTCAGACTGCTACAGCATTACCTACTGGTACCTCCAAGTGTCCACCATCCCAGAGGGTGCCTGCCCTGACCGGCACGACTGCATCCAACAATGACTTGGCGAGTCTTTTTGAGTGTCCCGTCTGCTTTGACTATGTGTTACCACCCATTCTTCAGTGTCAGAGTGGCCATCTTGTCTGTAGCAACTGTCGTCCAAAGCTCACATGTTGTCCAACTTGCCGGGGCCCGTTGGGATCCATTCGCAACCTGGCTATGGAGAAGGTGGCCAATTCAGTACTTTTCCCTTGTAAATACGCCTCTTCTGGATGTGAAATAACTCTGCCACACACAGAGAAAGCAGACCACGAGGAGCTGTGTGAGTTCAGGCCTTACTCCTGCCCGTGCCCTGGTGCTTCCTGTAAGTGGCAAGGCTCGCTAGATGCTGTCATGCCGCACCTGATGCACCAGCACAAGTCCATTACTACCCTGCAAGGGGAGGACATCGTTTTCCTCGCCACAGACATTAACCTTCCCGGAGCTGTGGACTGGGTGATGATGCAGTCCTGTTTCGGCTTTCACTTCATGTTGGTCTTGGAGAAACAGGAGAAGTACGATGGTCACCAGCAGTTCTTCGCAATTGTACAGCTGATAGGAACACGCAAGCAAGCTGAGAATTTTGCTTACCGACTTGAGCTAAATGGTCATAGGCGGCGATTGACTTGGGAAGCGACTCCTCGATCTATTCACGAGGGAATTGCAACAGCCATTATGAATAGTGACTGCCTAGTCTTTGACACCAGCATTGCACAGCTGTTTGCAGAAAATGGCAATTTAGGCATCAATGTAACTATTTCCATGTGTTGAAATGGCAGTCAAACATTTCTGGGCCAGTGTTTAAAACTGTTGCATTCAGTTTCACAGAGAATGAGGCGTTCATCTGCCTGCCTGGTAGGTGGAAGCTAGACACATGAAGGTAAATAAAAGAAAGGCTTTAAATACAGGAAACAGTTGCATGTAGTAACACTAATATATTTAAAAATAAGTCAACAGTAAACCACTGAAAAAGTATATATATATATACACCCAGGATGGGCATCTTTTGTATTAAGAAAGGAAGCATTGTAAAATAATTCTGAATTTTGTGTTCGTTGTAGATTGTATTGTTGACAAATACTGGTTTTTGTTTTGTTTTGTTTTGTTTTTGGCGCGCATTTGTTTCTTCCTTTATCCGAAAGCCATTGGGTGGCCCCGGGCCACCATTTTTCCCCTTCGTGAGTCAACACATAGTGCTGCTGTGGTTCTGTTTTCCCCCGTGTGTGAGTGTATTTGCTAATTTTTATTAATTCTAGTTTTTCATTAAATAAATTACTTTCTTTTCTGTAATTCAGGGTTTTCCTCACTTTTTTGTACCTTTTAAAAGTTAGTGTCGTTTGATATGCATAATTGTTCATGGTAAAGTTTATGTGTTCAGTACATTATTTCCTCATTAATCAGTTCACTAGAAAGCTTTTACATTAGGCTGTTTGTGAAGATACGAGTCCCTGAAAGGAACCCTCAGAACTATCAAAAGCTACTTCACACAGCTCAGATATGGTCTCTTTCTCATTCTGCCGCTCTCTCCACGTGTGATACCCTTCAGGCTTACTTTTGGAAAGGTTAGGGAATAAATTCTGAGTTACCTTAATACTGAGAAACCAGGCTCTTTATTTTTCTTTTTCAAATATCTTGGACAAATCACATGTTTAAAATTTGTTCTTGTATTATTGGTTTTGCAAAAGAAAGCAGCATCCTACACAGTATTTGTAATTAAAAAAAAAATCATTTGTTTAAAAACAGGCAGTTTGCAAAAAAATGTTTTTGGTCTTTTATAATTCTCATTAAAAGATTATCTGGCAAATTAAAAAAAGTTAATGTGTCTGCTTTAGATGTGAGTTCATGAAGTACAGTCTGCCCACCTGTCCCTCCCAGCAGGAAGCAGCGTGCGGGGCTGCGCGCAGCAGAGACTGGGTGTGTGGCCTCTGTACTGTCCCCCCCTTCACTTCTCCCAAGAGCAACAGGGTGCTGACCACTTCTTCGCTTAAAGTGCTAAAGATGAGTTAGTTTTGTAGCCCTAGTGTTTAAGAGGCCCCATTCTGCGACCAGACTTTCAGGTACATAGGTGTCAGTCTTGACTTCCCTTCTCCTTCCAGCTGTGGGGGGCCCCGTACCCAAATGTGTAAGAGTCAGGTTGAATTGGGATTGCTAACTGAGGTGCAGGTTAGCTCAGACTATACTTTTCCCATAACAGGCACCCCAAAAATGTTCAGACACGGTTACTGCACCTTTTGTGCCATGCTGTTAACTGTTGTTAGTTACCATCAGGTACAGGGCGGGAGTTTGAAATTGTCGTCCGAGTGGTGGAAGATAATCGTGTGTGGCTTTCACAGGTACCGCAGGTATAGAGAGTTAGTGAAAATTCTGGACAGTTCTGGATAACAAAGTTTACTTCTGTATTTTCTTACCGTTTTTTTGAGACAAAGTCTCCCTGTGTAGTGCAGGCTGGCCTTGAATTCATCACATTTCCCAGTCTGGCCTCAAATTCACGGCCAACCTCCTGCCTCAGCTTCCTGAATGCTGGGATTACACGTGTACACCACCACGCCTGGCTCTTCTGTTAAAACATTTGCTGGAAGGATTGTTTAATCTCTTCTCTGTATAGAAAGTACTTTGGGAATTGGTTAAAACATGGTTCAACCACAGATATCCAGGTTATTTTGTTAGCAGGTGTGTTTAGCAAAGCAGCTTTTATAATCATTTAATACATTGGGTATATTTGGGGAGATACATCCTTTGATGGTACTGAGGGTTGAACCTTGAGCTATTTTTTTTACATTTTAAAATTTGAGCCAGGGTCTTGCTGTGTTGTTCAGACTGTGCTTGGCTGTGTAGTCCTCCTGCCTCAGCCCCCAACAGTGCTAAGATTACAGGTTAGTGCCACCAGGCTTGGCAACTTTCTTATAAAAGTCGCAGCATAGATTTTGAAATTACAAAAAGGCACACACAGAAATCTTACCATAAGTGCAGATGACCTAACATTTTTTCTTCTTTATGTACATGTGCTTACACATATTTATTCTGAAAAATATTAGTGTCACAGGATTATGTAACCCTCTCACCATACAATCTGAGCTTTCATCTCTCATATTCTTGGGAAAATACCATTTCTGTGACTTCTGAGGATTTACTATAATTTTAGCCAGTTTCTTCTTTTTGGATATTTACTTGGTCTTTTTTAAACATTTCGTTTTCTTTTCTGTTTTTTTTTTTTTTTTTTTTTTTTTGTACCAGGAATCAAACTGAGGACCTTGTGCTTGCCAGGCAAGTGCTGTGCTGCTGAGCTGGCTCCCTGGCTTGCTAACATTCCTATATATTTTCTGATTATATTGTTGGGATTCAGGAACAAATTTTTTTTTTTGTCTTTTTGAGATAGAATCTCGCTATGTAGTTCAGGCTGGCCTTGAGCTCACTTTGTGGCCCAGGCTATCCTCAGACTTGCAAGGATCCTCCTGTCTCGGCCTCCTGAGTGTTGGGATTATAGGTGTGTGCCATGATGCCCAGCTCAGTAACAATTTTTATCCCTTTGGTACCCAGGACTTTCCAAGTGAGCTATGTGTCTATCCTATTTATTTTGAGATAGGAACTCGCTGAGGCACTAAATTGTCCAGGCTGGGTGTGAGCCATACCTCTTGGTCCATTTGAGATTTGATTGATGAGGTCAAATTTTTGTTCTTAAATTGCTTCCTTTATAACAGATAGTTTCTATTAATCCTCCTGCTCCTTATTTTGGTGGTATCTTTCAGGAGATCTTATGGGGTAAGCATAATATGCGCCCCACATTTCTGTAAAGTAACACAAGTGACTATAATTATTAGCTCACACAAATACCCCACCCCATGAGCTCAGGACCATCTGCAGTGATGGTAATGGTGGAGTTTTTATTTCAGATTT